ATATATATATATATATATATATATAATGTTGTTTTCAACTGCTTGTTCCAATTACGTTTGCAATCCAGTTTAGACAAAGTAAAGCTTTAGTGTGTCATCTGTTATGTTGGGAGCAGTGTGCAGAGGGCTCTGAAAAGAGTAAGCAACATTTTATTTTTTGAAGCAAGGGTCTCACTATGTAACCCTGGCTGGCCTGGAATTCTCCATATAGACTAGGCTGGTCTTGAACTCACAGGGATCCATCTACCTCTGCCTCCAAGTGCTGAGATCAAAGTGCATACCACTATGCCTGGCTAAGAACAGGATAGCTTTTAAAGTGTTGAGAAACATTCAATGTGCTTTATGAGCATAATTTTCTGACTGGTAAAGTACCATCCAAAGAAAGAGAGAGTAAAGAAGACCGGTTTGATGGCCAATTAAAATACTCCAGACAAAATAAAGTGAGGAAAAGAGCTGGGGTCACGTTTGCAGGCTCAGTACAAGGTGTATGTGGTTGGGTGTGGACCATCCACACACTTCGCAAAGCCCTTGAGTGTCAGCATGAGAAACTCCATAGTTCCAAGTCTCAAACAAAAGAAGCATGAACTGTGATCTTTTCCAAAGTATGAATGTGTATGGTGGCCTCTCCGGCTTTTAGGAAGTTACATTAAACAAATACTGCATTGCCGTTTTAGGTCATGGACTATGTAGTCCGTCAGCATGAGCCCATGGGACACCACGTGACGATTTTCTTTTCAGTTTGGTGTATTATCTACGTCTGGTCAACCAGCAAGTCCTTTACACACCTGTCCTCTTAGGTGTCAGGCAATTCCCTTTGCTGATTAAAGCTGTTGATAAGTCATCAGAATGTTGGTTTGGCCGCTGATTTTCTTTTCTTAGTGAGAATCTTTGAAAACTTTGTGAAGCAGATCAACTTCCTGTAACCAATACTGTTAAAATGTGAGGTTCTTAAGAAAATTATTTTATTAAACACACATACTCAACTTGGAAAAGTTGGATAATATCGAAAAGAGGAAATTCAAGCTCTGACCCTAATGAAAGTAGTTAAATGGTGTGGAAATCATTACAAGGAAAGTTAACGTCCCTGAGGTCTCTGGAGGTCAGAGCAGTGATAGGCTAGGGTCTGTGTACAGAGGGCTGTATAATGACGATGCCAATAATAAATCAAACAGTTTGTTGCTAGGCTAGGTACTGGGGCTGCGGTAGTGAACCAAAGTTCTGCCCTCTGAAGTTTTCTCCACAGTGAGAGGCAGTTGTTGAGTAATATTCAGGCAAATACAATCTTCCCGAACACTGACGTCAGGAACCTGGAGCAGAGCAGGTACCGAGGAAAGCACAGTCCCAATTCAATGTCAAAGGTCCTTCCACAAAGTGCAAGGAGTGTGGGGGCGGGGCAGAAACGCCTTCTGGGCAAAGAACACTCCAGGGTAAGAGTTCAGTTCAGGATAGGCACAATCTTAAAGAACAGGGAAAGCTTGGCTGAACCACAGTAGGCTGTCAGGAACATAGTAGGTGGTTTAGAGATGGTAGAGAGCAGGAGGCATGTTTGGTTGGGCTCAAGAAGCCTAAGAAGTAGCTTGGCCTCAACTTAAAAGACAGAAGGAGCCAAAGAAAAGTTTTAAGCAGTATGGATATGATTTGGCTGGTTTTATTTTCTCTTTCATTTCTCTTTCTTACCTACCTATGTCCGTTCCTCCTTCTCTCTCTCTTTCTTCCTTCCCTCTTCCTCCTCTTCTAGATAGAAATTCACATATCCCAGACTTTGATACAAGTCACTGAGTAGAGGACATCTTAAAATTACATTTATTTGTTATTCATGTGTCATGAATAATCACAGGACAGCTTGCAAGGGCTGCTGTTCTCTTTTACTACATGGGTCCCAAACATCAAACTTAAGTTATCAGATTTAGCAGGAAGAACCTTTATCCACTGTGCTACCTTAATGACTCAGTCTAGGTCTTCTGACCCTCTTGACTCTATCTCACAAGTGCTAGAAACACAGGCTCCCATCACACTTCTTTATGGGGTGCTGGGGATTGAACCCAGGACTTTGTTCATGCTAAGCAAGCACTCTACCAATTGAGCTTTGTGTCTCGGCCTTTAAAAAAATGAAATAAAACTATGGCTGCCACACAAGAAACATCTGAAGGCCAAGAAGAAGGGTAAGCAAGGAGTTTACAATAGGGCGGACTCATATATGTGTGTGTTGTTTTAAAAAAATGTATGTGTACTGCATGTTCCTGTGTGAATTTATGCACTCCATGAATGTGTGGGTGTGTGCCCACACAGGGTAGAAGAGGGTCTCAGGGCCCCTGGAACTGGATTTACCAGTGGTTGTAAGTTGTTGTACGTGGGTTCTGGCAGCTAAACCCAGGTCCTTCACAAGAACAGTATGCATTCTTAACTGCTGAGCCATCTCTAGCCCGTAGGACAGACTCCCGAGTCAGGACAGTGTCTGTGACTGCAGCTGCACAGCTGTGGCCATCCGTCACATGTGAGCCAGGGGCTTTTTCATTAGCTGTTTGGATATGATTATCTCCCTTTTAGTGGCGAGCAAACAGTAGCTCATCTCCTGCCAGAGGTATGGTCTGGCAAAGGCTACACTGAAAACTGTAAGTGAAGCCAGACCTGATAACAAGCTCTTTCCCTGAAGGCATGGGGGATGTTAGTAGAACGGAGTGATGTTGAATTCCAGGGCCTCAAGTTCCAGTTTACTATTTTGTCAAGCCTTTAGGGTCCAACATGGGAAAATTCATGAGTCTGTGATGGGATCTCAAAGACATTGCTAGTTCATAGAAAGAGGCAGTGTCCCCCAAATAATCTGCCCTCGTTTTATTTCTAAAGCTGTGATAAAATACTCCAGCAAAAAACAACTTGGGAAAAGGATGGTTTTTACTAAAGCCCTCGATTTCAGGTTATATATTCCTGTGGGGGAAGTCAAGGCAGGAGCTT